TTGGTAATAAGAATAAATCTTTCCAGATCAATTATTTACATAGTTTACGAAGTAATTCATAAGACTTATTGATATCACGTAGCATTTCTATACTTTGCCTTGATTTTTATAGCTATACAGTATTTTTTTATGTTTAATTTTTTATTTACATATTACTGATGATAGATGTTGTGAACTGAATTAAATTAAACATTTATCTCTATACTAAAATAAGATAAATTGAAATTGCTGAGAATGTTCAAAAAGAGAGGATTTTATATCATTATGTTTAAGAACTAATTATTTAAATGTTTTATTTAGCAAACTGAAAATTATTGTATGTCATGAGTTTACTAAGCGGTTCTACAATTAATTAGCGTCCACTGTACGAAAATTTTGCTCATTTTCAGATGACAGAATCTCCGCGATTACCGAACAAGCCGAGGTTAAGCATTTTTAGTGTGAAAGAATCCGAGCTGCATACGTCACCTAGGCAAAGGTAGCATATTGTTTAAGTAATATTTTTTAATGCGATAAAATTCAAAAATTCTGTTCTTCTGCTATTTTTATAGTTGTGGTAAATATGACTAGCACAATAGATGTAACATTTTCTTGAATGCTATGTAGTCGCTGAGTTTTTATACCAATTTAAGTCATAAAACGTACGCATCTTCAGGAAATGGTTGAAAAAAGTGTTGATTAAAATTAAAAATTACATGAAATCTAGACAAAAGTCTTGTTTTCTTTAAAATTAAAAAGTCTTGGTAAAATCCATCAAATTCAATTCACAAGGTTCATAATTTAATAAAAGCAATGTCAAATTAAAAATCTATTCAAAGAATTAAATTCATATGGAAATTAAATTTAAAGGTTTTTTTTTGCGTTATCAGCACTTCAACACTTTGCTTTTCGCTTTTTTCTTACTATGAAAAATAATTACTCTACACTCTGTCAAATAATTTATCACTGAGTAATGCTTAGAATGTAGAAAAAATAAAATTTTATTGTTTGCAACATGAAAAACAATGATATTTTGAGATGAATAGTACTGAAAATTCAAAGCTATATTCTTAATTCAATTATAAACTGCTCTAACAATATAATTAATTTGTTTCATTTAATGAAATTATGAGCAGCTTTAGTCATTCTGAAGAGCTTCAATCAGTTTAGTGAACAAATAGTATTTATTTGTAAACAAATATTATCGCATGTTTGATTTCTATAGTAGTTTGCACATCGAAATTATGTAAGCAATTACAACTTAACTTATAGCAAACTGAACTTTTATTGAAAAGAAATAACATATAAAAAGTTTGTTGCTAATATAATTAACTTAAAGTCCAAATTAGATTGTAAAGTATCAAATATAAGGGCATTTATTTTTTGAAAATTTGTCTAAATCAGTTCTTTATTTTCAACATGTGAAGGTCATCTTTACGAAGTTTTCTCTGTTTCATATCTTTCTTTGGACATCGGTCATGTGCATGAAACTGAATTATTACAATAAAAGGAATTGCCGTAATATGACCAATTATTATTATTTCTCTGATTACTACATTTTCGTACCATGTGCTAAATTCTCTTTATTAAATAGCCTTCATAATTTTAATTATAGAACAAAAAATAATTTTTTTCGATAATATAAATCCACAATTTTTAACTTTTAGTCTCTGTAATCTTTATTTTTGTGCAAAATTTGTAACAGAATACAGTATTTTAATTTACTTTAACTTTACAGTATTGTTTAGTAGGAGAAAAGAAGTTTTATAAAAATGGTTTCTCTAGGCTAATTACTCCAAATGTTGTGAAGAAGGATTTAGAAGTAAGAATCCCGAGTAATATTTTTAACTGTTACATATTTCTTTGACCCCGAAATGATGTACTCCATAAATTCATTAGATTTTTTTTTCTTTCACTATGATTAAAGTTATTTCACAGTGGAGCAAAATTTCAAGGTCATAAATAAGAAAAATTATTTTTTGATACCTTTTAATTTATTAGGAAATCCTTGTTGAAAATCTGAAAAATGATTGCTAATTTATTTTTAACATTCTTCTCCATTAAATTACTTCTTGAGCAGTCTTTATTGCCAGTTTAATTTAAATTTTTTAATGAGCTAATTTAAAGAACTATTATGCTTTTTTTATGACTAGCAGAATTAAAAGTAATAGTTTATTAAATAAAGCAATTTTATTTTACTACAAGACTACATTAATTATAATAAATGGAATTTTTTTCAAAATAAAATTCAGCTCGACAAGATTGAAGAGCATAGGAGTGAAAATGATGAATTTATTTGATTAGCTACAGTTTCTTTGTAGATAATTGTCATGTGAGAAATAACAAGCTGTTTTTGGTATTTTATCTTAATAATGATAGTAATTAATTTGCTCAAACAAAAGTTTGTTTACGATTTTTTGACTTTCAAACATAGTTCTCTGCAATGTAGCAATGTACTCTTGAGTTTTCTCCACAATTGGTTTTTTTCATTTGATCTGTTGTTGATAGAAATTGCTACTACCTCTTAATTCCAATATTATCAAGTATAAATCGTGTTTTCATTTTAGCATAGATTACTTTGCTCAGTGCATAATTCCTCTTATTTTATGCTTAATTTTAGAAATTATTTAGTGTTTTTCTTTTGCATGTAAA